ACCAATTTATCTTTATTACTTTATTTTTGTGTAGTCTGTCTTAATTCATAAAAGAAAAATTCTCAGCCACCCAACAAATGCATGGGTAGTTTTGCTCTTTCTTTGCAAGTTAACTTAGCTTTCCAAACACTTTTTCTTTTTTTTTTTCCTAACAGCTGTATTAAGATATAATTCATATATTCTACAATCTGTTCATTTAAAATACTTAGTTGGTTGGTTTTTAATATACTATTAATAGAGTTGTGCAACCACTACCCAAATTAATTTTAGAACATTTTTCTTTTCTCCATAAGAAACCTCATACCCTTTGGCCATTATTCCCCCAACTCTTCTAGCTCACAGCCATAGAGCCACCAATCTATTTCTTTCTGTATAGATTTGCATACAAATAAAATAATATAATAAACAATCTTTTGTGACTAGCTTCTTTAACTTAGCATAATTTTTCAAGATTCATCCAATTTGGAGCATGCATCAATACTTGTTCTTTTTATGGCTGAATAATACTTCATTGTATATTCATTGGTTGATGGACATTTTATGGTTATTTTGGCTATTATGAATTATAGTGCTGTGAGTATTTATATATGTTAGCATTTATATACAATAAATAAAGTCTCTTAGATTTATTTTCCTCCTTGCTGGAGTTTTTAAAGAGTATCTTGGTTTGGTAAACCTTCTAAGCTTCTACATGCCTGCAGATATTTTTATTTTATCCTCATTTAAAATGGTCAAATTCTAAGTTTGACTTTTTTTTTTTTCTTTCTTTAATACTATCCCTCCACTGTCTTCTGGTTTCTAATGTTACTATTGAAAAGTCAGATGTTCATCTGATTCTTATTCCTTTGTAGGTCATCTGTTCCTACCTGTTTGGCACTGAGTTATTTCAATCTGAATTTACTTTAATTCTAATAATTTAGCTTATCTCTATTTTCACCTATTTTCCTAGAACTTCTATAGTATTAATAATGCTATTTCTATTTCTATCCTCCTTAAATTTTCTTTTATATTTTCTATGTTTTCATCTCTCTTCCCCTGAAAAATAGCATATTTGGGAATTCCTCAATCTGAGGAATTCTAGTAGTTTCAACCTACTAATATGTTCTAGTATTATCAATTCTCATACCCAACCAATCTGTTAAATTTCAGATACTGATTTTTTTTTTGTTTTGCTATATCAGGAATTCCAGCTGGATGGATTTTTCTGGCACACTTTTTACTTCATCCTTAAGTAGTGTTCTCTCTCTCTCTCTCTCTCTCTCTCTCTCTCTCTCACACACACACACACACACACACAACTTTATTATACCTTATTTTAAATCCTTGTTTGTCTGGCTCCCAAATTCTATAAGTCATTCAATTTGTTCTCTGTTCTTTATGGCTTTTTTTTTTTAATTCAACCAATATTTATTATGAACTAGGTATTATTCCAGATACTTGAGACACAGCAGAGAACAAAACGAAGGTCCCTGCCCTTATGGAGCTTACAGTCTAGTGTTTATGACACTTTGCTGAATGCTGGCCCTGACCCTGGGCAAATCTCTCCTCAGCTATCCAATGCAGGAAGAAGCAGGCCTGGCCCGGACATGGATAACATGTCTGATGTACTATAGATACCAAACAGATATCACCTCCAACCCACTACCCAGGTAGTAGCTCAGGCTGGAAGTTGACTTTTAATAATAAAATATAGGTGGAGGGCAGAGGGAGTGCAGCAGGTGGGGTGGTGTGCTGCTGCACCAGGGTCTGCGCTGGCTACACAAACTACTGCTGCTGCTTCTTGGTGGCTGCCTGGCTGACAAGGTCCTTGGCTTCTCTGTAGCTGCCAGTGCCATCTCCTTTGCTTCCTTGGCTGTCTCAACAAGGGTTTTGTGTTCTTTTTTTTTTTTTGAAGAGGCCTCACCTTGCAGCTTGGCCAAGGTGTATTCAAAACCCTTCACTGACTTGGTCACATTGCTTTTGAACCGACCAAATTCCTGGACAGCTCTGGAGATCCCAAATAAGCTGGAGGAGACCCGAGCTTCCTGGTGGATTTTGGTCCAGCGCTGTTAACAGTAAACACATCGTTTCTCCACCACCATCAACCAGACATGGTTGATGTTCCAGTGAAGATGGTCATGGTCTGGTTCTGTGGGTCCACAATAGAAATCTCCAGGATTTACACCGAGTGAGCAACATTGGCAGGAAAGAGTCACTCGGCCCAGGGGGCATCCTGTTGGTCTTGGTTAGGGGTCACCTCCTGATGCACTATGTCGCTTGTCATAGCGTGTGCTATAGCGATTCGGGTACTGCTGCCAGAAGGCAGCGAACACTTGGTCCTGGGAACTCCGAACAGGCTGTGGCCGGGTAGGGTCAGCACCCGAGCAGCATCAGGCGTACAGAGCCGGGGGGTGCGCGGAGGCCAGGCACCAGTCACCGCCCCACTACACCCCACCAGCAGCTGCCACCATGAGAAGTTGTCCCCCTTTATAACTTTTGTGTACTCTTGAGTTGTCTAATACTTTCCCCCTATGATTATTCACTGCCACATCTCTTCAAGTTTTTGTTGCCATGAAATGACTAGTAAGTGGCATTTTTATTCAAATGTGTTTTATATTAAACAAACAAGACTTAAAATCATCTAAATTTAACAAGATATTTTAATGATTCTTAAAATTTTTTATTAAGAATAAAATGTTTTTCCTCAGAAACTACTCAACTCTGATTATTTGATTTATTTATAATTCTATTGTGAAATTTTTCACACAGAAGAGGAGAAAATAACTTTTAAGCAAATCCATGTTGCTACTCTATACCAGGCTTATTATTATTAGGAAGCTGCTAATTTGCAAGTTTTTGTTACTAAGTGCACATCAATTATCTGGATTTGAGACAGTGGTGATGGGAATCCTTCCTTCTACCACCCTGAAGAAGGTCAGTTTGGCTTTCCATTAAACCAGGCCCGAGCTCCACAGCTTTCCTATGTGGTGGTCATCCCCAGAGGCATCTCTGAAGCATTGTATATGTTCAGCCAGCCATGTTTAATTCATATAAAAGTATTTATGTTCAAGAGGTAAATTATAGGACCATAGTCGAGCTATGTACATTTTACTTATTAATCAAGCTTTTAATAAGCTATTGTGGGTCAGCAGTTGATGGCATATATTAGTAAGACAGTGGGGGCAAGAAATAACACAGCATTGCTATAATATATTGTACCTTCCACCTCAACTTTTTTCCAGGTCACCCCTTTCTCTGGAACTGATCCTTTGAACTCCCTCCCTTTACTTCCATTTTCTTCACCAGGTCTTTTATCTTCCTGACCAGAGTCTGTCATAAACATGACTAATTTATCACACATTCTTTGCCTGCCAAACCCTGGATATGCCCTCAGAATCCTTTTTAGCACGTAATACTTCAGGGAGTTTGCCACTAGAGACAATACCCAGTTGTCATTTTTGTTCTATCTCTTGTTCCAATCAGACTAAGACATTAACATATTCAGGCTATATTCACTTTGAAGGCTGAAGAGGAATAAAGGAAAAATAACAAGTAAAATTGTTTCCCAATCTCCAAGAGACACTTTCTTTTAAAGCCATTTATGTCTCTCCAACTCTTGTTTCTATCTGTGTTGTTTCTGCTTCTTTCTACCGAATTAGCTCAAAGTAGGAAATAAACACACTTGTATTGAGCAATACAAACTAGATTTTAACTCAGTTTTGAAAAGGGCATTCTTTTCTTTCCAAATATTTTCACCTCTTTAGTCACTTCTGAGGTAATTTCTCATTTTTCATATAATGTACATTTTTTCCTATCCTTGTATTTAGATTTTTTTGGTGAAAATTAGGTACCAGGAACTAAGCAAAGGTCTTTTATTGATAAAAATAACATAGGAATTTGAGAAAAGACAACATAGAGAAGGAAATGCTGGTGGGGCAAACAAGCATTTATTTTTGTTCCTGAATTAATATGAGGTGGATATTTTAAAAATATTAATAAAAAAGACAGAAGAAAGTGGGGCATTCCTAAGTGAGCTAACTATCTGGCTATTATTCTATTGTGTGCCTAAACTATATTGTTGTACTTGTTCTTCACACCACTCTGTTCAGTATAGTGTTGGCCTCACTTATAAAAACAAGGAGAGTAAAAAAGGTAAATAATTTGCCCAAAGACACACAGCTAGTGAGTGATAGAGTTGGGATTCTACCCCCATCTCTGGGTACAAATATTTTTGTTCTTTCCCACCTAACCATTTAAGAAATTTTACTCTGACAGGATTTTACTTTTTTCCATATATCGATAGACTTTATATCACAGCCTTTTTAATATGGGCAGTGATTACATGCATGCATACATTTAAAGTTTTATAAGTATTTGGGCCTCTGGCACTGTGGCTAAAATGATAAGATTCTGGTGTAATAGTGTCAAGAGCCCTTGACAGTGTAGCCCAGTGATAAACAGTGATTGAACCAGGTGTCAAATCCTGACTCCACCACTGCCTCACGTTGTGAGAGACCAACATACAAGGTTGTTTTGAGAATTCAACATGGAAATATGCATAGAACACCTATCACAATACTAACAAATAGTAAATGTTTCATAACTCTATTATGTACTTATTATATTATGTTAAATCTCTAGCTTCTCCATGAGGTTCTGAGAATTTTCACAGAACTTACAAACTATACTAAAGATATTGATTTTATACTTACTGAGTTGATATTTGTAAGGAAATAAACATTACTTTTACTCTTGTATTTTTTATATTTTGGGTAAATACTTTAAAATATAATCATTACTATTTGAAACGTATAGTCTCTCTCCTGATAAGGAACATTTGCCTCATCCAGGAATTACAGTATTTCTAGAAAGATCCCCAAAATCTGTTTTGGTTGAAGATACTTGAAATAATAGTAGTAGACTCTGACTACTGGTGTCTTTGTTTTAACCTTCTATTGTATGAGAATGCAGAATGCACAGTTCAGCGATTAAAACATTTGCTATCTTCTTTTCTTTTTCAGAAGATGAATAATCTTTCATTTAGTGAGCTATGTTGCCTCTTCTGCTGTCCACCTTGTCCAGGGAAAATTGCTTCAAAATTAGCATTTTTGCCACCTGATCCAACTTACACACTAATGTGTGATGAAAGTGGAAGCCACTGGACCTTACACCTATCAGAACGAGCTGACTGGCAGTACTCTTCTAGAGAAAAAGATGCTATGGAGTGTTTCATGACTAGAACCAGTAAAGGCAACAGAATTGCCTGCATGTTTGTGCGTTGCTCACCCACTGCCAAATACACCTTACTCTTCTCACATGGAAATGCTGTTGATCTTGGTCAGATGAGCAGCTTTTACATAGGATTGGGATCACGGATTAACTGTAATATATTCTCATATGATTATTCTGGATATGGTGCAAGTTCTGGGAAACCATCGGAGAAGAACCTCTATGCAGACATAGAAGCTGCTTGGCTTGCTCTTAGGACAAGGTAAATGGTGAATGGGAATTATTTTCCATACTTTGGAAAATTGTCTTGTATTAGAATAGAATAAAGACTTTTTATAACACATTTTAAAGTGCTAAATAGAAACTATATTTACCATTATATACCTATGAAGAGTTAAAATTAGATTGTAGTTTAACTTATTAAAGTGTAATATAAAAAACGTATTTTCAAAATTGCAGCATTTCACGAGATTGAGAGAAAATGTGATTTAGCTAATTACTCATTGACTTGATCTGTCATTAACAAGTATAAGAGGATGCATTGTTTTTTGTCAAAATCCTTAGCCATGGTTTGCATTATTTTATATAATTATTTCCTAGAAGATGTGGCTTAAAAATCTCTTAATGGAACTATTTTTAAAGTTTTCATTTTATAAAATGGATTTTACTTTCATTCTGGACACAAAATTTGGAGAGGCTCTCAAGTGAAGAAAAGTTAATGCTATGATAAGTCATTTACATAATTTCTGTTACTCTGTCAGTTATTTTTTGTTTATAACTACATTTTTTTGGAAACTAGAAATTGTGTTAGTCTTATCTAGTCACCAGGATACTTACAAATCTTTTAAAAAAAATAACACAATTTTTATTTTATTTTATTTTTTAAATATATTTTATTGATTTTTCACAGAAAGGAAGAGAGAGGGATAGAGAGTTAGAAACGTCGATGAGAATCATCGACCAGCTGCCTCTTGCACACCCCTTACTGGGGATGTGCCCGCAACCAAGGAAATGCCCTTGACCGGAATCGAACCTGGGACCTTTCAGTCCTCAGGCCGACGCTCTATCCACTGAGCCAAACCGGTGCTAGCAAAATAACACAATTTTTAAAATATCGGTGTATTATCTCATCATTTAGCATACAGTAAGTAGATATCTTAGTATAAGTTATTCTTCCTATTAGACATTGATAAGCTGCCTGACTTCCACAGTATTTCAGTTAGAAGCTACGGACATAAAGAAAAGAAAAAGATCATATATCATAACCCATGAACACAGATCAACAGTGTGATGATGGCCAGAGAGAAGGAGCTGGTGGGTACTGGGTAGAAGTAGGCAAAGGCAGTAGGGAGGAGGAGGTTAATGGGGACATCTGTAATAGTATTGACAATCAAAATTAAATTTTAAAGAAAGAACTAGAGAGATATGAAAGAATATAAAGAAAAAGAAAACTTAATGTTTCTAACTTAATGTTTAAATATGAATGATTTCCGTTAGTTAAGAACCACTTCAATTTTGTTAGTAGGCATAGCCTTTTTTGGAAAATGTTTTTAGAACCATTTACCCCTTCAAGATATGTAATAAAACTCAACTCTCATAGCAAAGTTCTATATAAAGGGGATTCTTAAATCAGTTGAAATGATATGAAAACATATTTGATGAATAAGAAAAAAATAGATGGTAAGGAATATAAGTAGCAAGAAAGGAGTTCAGGGTTGGTTAGAATAGAATGTTAAAAACCACCTTTAATGACAAAATTGGTTTTTAGAGAGAATGTAAGGGAGAAGAGAGAAACATTAATGTGAGAGGGCAACATCGATCAGCTGCCTCTGTATGTCCCCCACTAGGGATTGAGTGCCCTAATTGAACAAATAACCTCTACTGCACAGGATGAAGCCCAACCAATTGAACCACACTGGCCAGAGCAGTAATATGTATTCTTTAATAACAGATTTATTGAGATATAATTTGTATACCATAATTCACTATTTTAAAGGGTAACTCCAGTGGATTAGTATGTTTCTTAAAGATGCTAAGTTAGACCAAACAGCCTTTATTGTTAGTGCTTCTTACATAATCAGAAAGGGAAAAGTAAATAATGAACTTAAGTGGTTATTACTTGAATGGTCTGGTCTTCTTTTTAAGATAATTGATAATAAGTTTCCGAACTTCTGATCTATCAAGAGAAAATAAGGGACTAATATTCACTATGGGTCCTTCACCTACAAATTTTGAAATCATTATCTTTGTTTTGTAATAGAAAAAAAACTGGACTGGGAGTCAGGATTCCTGTGTTCAAATTATAGGTCTGTCACTAACTTACTCTGACTTTGACCATCTGCTCAGTAAACAGCTGAACCAGAGTAGATAGTCTCTAAAGTCTTTTCTAACTTTTATTCTGAAATTCTGTTATTGCTTGGAGTCCTGATGTGACATTGGTAGCTGCCTCTGCTGCTCTGGAACCCTGCCCATCACTAACTTTAACCTAAAATCCATAGTTGCCACCAACAATGCTGCTACTCAGCTAACAGCAGCTGTGCAGCCTTAGGAGTTATGGTGATGCTGAAAATGTTCATTTTCCCAATTTTCATTCCTATAAAGTATTCACAGCCAGGTCTATTGTAAAGAAAACTTTTCTGAGTTTACTTAACATTTAGAATCAATCTGGAGTGGATGGAACCCAAACCCTGGAAATATCCAAATGCTTGAGTGTAGGACTGATTGGAAGAAACTATGGAAGGGAATGTCATTAGCCAGATAGTTCAAATAGGTGTGTGCTCCTGGGAAGGGCCATAGGGAGCATACAGGGCTTGTCTTGTTCTTTCCTGGTGAATGCTCAGACAATCTGGAAAGCTCTAGTATCTTTTCAAAAGATTAGAAGCTGTTGATCAAATGGCCCTTAGCAGCAGAAGTGATTACTGAAGGGGAAAGGCATATTTGATGTCACTTAACCCTTACTCCCACATTCATTAGCTCCTGTAGCATCTCACTTGCAGTTGCATTAGTTTATAGTTGGGACAGTTATACTGAAGACATATAATAGTGCCTGGAACATAGTGTGTGCCCAATATTACTGAGTTCAGTGAATTTACGTATTTAAATCCAACCCCTTTTTAAAGGGAGTAAAGCAATAATCTAAAGGTTTTAGCATGAAGTTTATTCTTAATTAACTGAATTGTATGTCATTGGAATTTTCATTTGTCTTATCTTTTCAATCACTAATCCATTTCTATGATAAGTAATGGCATATTTCAACAAATATAGTAATTTGCTCTTGGCTAAAATAATGTGTACATTCAACTATATGTCACATTTTCACCAATATGATCAACTTCAGAAAAGGAAACGATCTACTTTTGATGTCTAGAGAAATAATGTTTCTTACATTTAATGGAAAATAAATACTATCTATTAAATATCAATCATTAAAATATTAGTAATAATATGTTTCATATTTAGTCAATAATATGTTGAATTATATAAATGGTTTAATAAATAAAATTTTAAGATTAAAATTTAAAAAGACCTCAGCAATTTTTCCAAAAGATGAAATTGAAAAATAAAATAAGCTAAGACAATAGATTTTACTATAGCATTAAATATAATAGTGATGACTAAGAAACTTAAAGTTTAGCTATGTATTTGTTGGCATTGTCTAAATCATTTGGTTACAAAGTTAAGTTGTTAGGGATGATTGAACATTTCCATACCAGTCCAACTTTTTTTTCCCTCCCAATTTCTGAACTTTGTAGATATGGCATTCGCCCTGAAAATGTGATTATATATGGCCAAAGTATAGGGACAGTACCATCTGTGGATCTTGCTGCTCGGTACGAGAGTGCTGCTGTTATTCTTCATTCTCCTTTGACCTCAGGAATGCGAGTTGCTTTTCCTGATACCAAGAAAACCTACTGTTTCGATGCATTCCCAAAGTAAGTATCAATATTCAAAATACTTGAATTCAAAGAAACTTTTAAGGGGAATTTTAATCTATCACTTAAGATATTCATGATACAAATCACTCATCCATAAGCTATTTTTCATATCTTACAGAAATTGTGAAAAATTAATTTAAGCAGGTAGTAATAGACACCAGTCAGGAAACTGAAATGTTTGAGCAGTAGTGATCCAGGCGTAAAGTACTGAGGGTCTTTTAACAAGACAATGGCATTAATATTAGAGACAAAATGATTTTGAGAACAAAACTGATAGAACTAAATGTCAGGCAGGATATAGGAGAGGACAGCACTAACTAAGTAAAGAACTTGAACATAATTCTCTGGGTGGTGGTACCATTCATTGAGACACAATATTGGAGGAAAGGAAGAAGTAGAGGGAAAATGAGACACGTCATAAAAATGACATGATTCACAAAAGTAGTGAATTGCAAAAAAAGTTGACTCTTAAATGAATTAGGGTAAGTATTGCCTCCACAAAGTCTACAAACATAAGGTTTTTGACAAACCTGAAAGGGTTACTTCTGCTTCTTGAGACAAGATGGTAGTTCCCACCAACTCAAGAAGTAAAAAGCTGGCAAATTAGTTCTTTTATTTATTTATTTATTTATTTTATTGATTTCAGAGAGGAAGGGAGAGAGAGAGGGAAACACACACACACACACACACACACACACACACACACACAGTGATAAGAATCATTGATAGATTGATAGGCTGCCTCTCCTTCATGGCCCCTACTGGGGATCAAGCCTGCAACCTGGGCATGTTGCCCTTGACCGGAATCGAAACTGGGACCCTTCAGTCTGCAAGCCGACACTCTATCCACTGAGCCAAACTGGCTAGGGCAGTGGTCGACAAACCACAACTCGCGAGCCACATGCAGCTCTTTGGCCCCTTGAGTGTGGCTCTTCCACAAAATACCACATGCGGGCACGCACGTACAGTGCAATTGGAACTTTGTGGCCCATGCACAGAAGTCGGTTTTCAGCCTGAGTGAGTCTATTTTGAAGTGGCATTAGAAAACTCAAAGGGCCAAAGAGCCGCATGTGGCTCACGAGCCTTAGTTTGCCGACCACTGGGCTAGGGCATCACTTGATTCTTTATAAGAACATCAACGGTTTTTAAAAAAAAAAATTTTTTTTTCATCATTAGCAAGTCAGGAGTCACTTTTGAAGGGATGCTTATGGTACATGTGATCTTATCACCAGAACAAACTATTGGAGGGAAATTTGATTTTTATTTTCCGTTTGTTTTTGTTTTAGATATTGGTAGGTTGGAAGGTATGTGCATTGCATTGCTTCTGTTTAGCTGAATCATAGTGATGATAGGAAGGTATTTGAGGTAATGCTGTTGCCATAAAACGTATATCTCTTGTCTACCTCCCTCTTTCATTATTGCATCAACAGAGAGGACAGCACTAATAGTTAACTGTTAGAAAAAGACCTTTAATATTAAATATCTGACAGCAAATAATATACCCAAACATTCTTTCCTTAACCAAATGCTGCCTTGAATAATTTCATTGATAATGTTTTTACTTTTTATGATTCTATCCTCATTTTATGATTACAGTTCCCCCATGTCTCCTTCCCTCTCCCTCTCTCTCTCTGGATTTTTTAAGGTTTTTTTTTGTGTGTGTTTTTTTTTTTAATGTGTAATCTCTGTAATTTATGTCTCCTTTGCATTGCCTTTAAATTCTGATTATTTTGATCTCTGTCTTATGTTAGTATAATCCTCTGATGTTTGGTAATTCTTGGTTGTCTGCTCATAGTAAGGCAGAGGAACTAAAGTGCTGATCTGAATCGGGTGATTAAGACTTATTGACTGTGAGTTTCACTGTAGAGTGATCTGGTCAAGCCAATTAATCGGGGATCCCCACCTGAACCCCCATACCAATATTTATATATTTTTCCTTTTAAAGTGGGTATAGTCTCCAAAGAAGATTTTCTAAATCTCCCCCTTGGTGGATGAAGTCCTGGATGCCAGTTCTGGAAGCCCAGTAGGGAGAAAGGGTTCACAGCAGTCAGTATGTATATGCTTGCTTGGCCTCTGATACCTCTGCCCTAAACTGTGTCTGGCAATCCCTTAGTCTATAAACCCCACAGTTTTGGGTGGAGTGCAGTTACCCTGCTGCAAAAAGTAGGGGAAAGATGCTGACAAAGAAGGACCTAAATTATTTCTTTGAACAAATGTAAATATTTCAATTACCCACCTTCATCCCCCTGTCATTTCCTTGTCTTCTCCTGTATTCCATGGTATAAAGTGGGTTGGTTCTTAACTTTACCTTCTATCCTCTTAAAAATTGTTTTCTCCTATCTACTATTCAACTCCAAAAATTTTTGTTTAATTATAGTTGCTCTATTTTTGTGAGTTAATAACGTAAAACAAAAATCCTGCCATATATGAGTGCAGAAAGGTATGAAATTAGCACTTAATGAAATGGTCCTTAGTTTCCTTGCAGTCTTAGGTTTTCTGTGCAAGACATTAACATTGTATGTAAAGCTGCTGTAGGGTTTGAATCAGATTTTAAATTTCTTCTGGATAGATTCTAGTTTTTGAATTATCTCTCTGATATAGCACAAGAAAGTTTGTTTTACATTCCTTTTCATTATTAATTCATTGACTTCCCTCCCTCCTTTTTCTCTACAGTATTGACAAAATCTCTAAAATAACCTCTCCAGTATTAATAATTCATGGGACTGAAGATGAAGTCATTGACTTTTCACATGGCCTCGCATTGTTTGAGCGTTGCCAAAGACCTGTGGAGCCTCTGTGGGTTGAAGGGGCAGGTCACAATGATGTGGAACTTTATGGACAGTACCTTGAAAGGTTGAAACAGTTTGTGTCACAGGAATTGGTAAATTTGTAAAATATTCTGTAAATTTGCATACCGGGTTTTCTTTTGCTGAACTGCACTCTTTGGTAAAGAACATAAAACCTGAAGGTTTTGTTTGCAAATCATGTCAGTTGCCTTCATAAATGTACAGGTAATGATTTGTTAACAGACTTAATGAAGGTTTTAATTACCAGAACTATAACTGGAAATAACAGTATCATGCAGTCAGGCTGTGTAATTTATATTTTTTTCTGTGAATTTTTTTTAACATCGAGATATAAGTACTGTATGAAATTTTAATTCTATGAAATCAAATGCTGTAAAAGTATTGCCAAATGCTTTTGCATATGAGAAACAAATTTATAAATATTTTTAAAACATCTCAATGTACCAAATCGTATCCTGGTATACAAATGTAATATTCTTTCAATGAAAAGCTGTGTATCTGAAACAATTCAAGTACTAAAAAACACACAAATTCACTAGAGATTACCTAAACCCTGTTGTACCGGAATAGAGGTGTAAACAGTTATGCTATTGTAAAGTACATTGGATTTTCTGTATTCCCTGGTTATTATACATTTTCTCCTCTAAAAAATAAAAAAAAAATAATGATTTAAGTCTTAATTTTTATGCCATCTGTTAATTTACCAACTAGTTACCTTGTAAATGAGAAATCATGATAGCACTGAATTTTAACTAGTTTTTGATTTATAGGTTTGGTACTGTGAGGCAACTACTTAAAATTTTATTTTAGTTATTTAAAAGGCATTTAGAGCTTCAAGAATGACTTTTGTATGCAATGTTGTTTTAAATTTTGCAGATTCTTCATTATAAGAAAACCTGAAAGTCTATTGGATGTTCTTCAAGACCACAGGCTGGCTTTGGTCCCTTTTCACTTTGGCTATTTTTAACAATAGGATTTATTGGTTTGGATTATTATCTAAGAATTTCATGGATTCACTTCTGATGTAGGAGATCAGAAGACATTTAATTCATAACTTTTATATTAACCAATGTAGTAAAAAATAAAACTCACAAACAAAAACTAAGTTGCCTTTCCTTGAATGAATCATTCCTGAATTTAAAAAATGAAAGAAAAATAAAAAATAAATTAATGGTATGTAGTCTACTTGTAAATGAATGATATTGAAACAATACACACTGTGGATATTTTTAAGGCCTTATGTAGTTCTAATTGTTCTGCTTGTTCTATGGTTATGTCTAAGGCTATAGTATATGATTCTTTCAAAGTATATCAAGTATTGTGAATGCTTTGGATCAGATGTGTCAAATTAACAGTAAAACAACAAATATACCACTCAGCTGTGCTTGTTTTCCTTTTCCATGTTCTCTACCTCCTATAAAGGGCAAAGAAAAGTTACTGTTCATCTTAATAGTTCTATAGTTTTCTAAATTTTATTCTTTCCTTGGGAGAGGCTTTTCTTTCTCAAGATTGTCTTGGAGCTTATACAATTCCTTCTTTGTACAACATACACCCAAGTTTAGCTGAGTGTTTTCTTTGATTAATTCCATATTCATGCAGTGAATATTTATTGCCTGTTTAAAGCTTGCAAAACTTTTTGCCTGCTAAAGATAGACATTGGTCATGTCCTCATAGACTTCACAGTATAGCTGAGGCGACATACCTCATTACACAAGTACTACTATTTGGATAAAGGCTAAAGATGACTAGTAGGGTATTATAATAGGTAAAAGGTACTCTTGGAAGGGGAGGGTATAGAGGACAAGGGAGAGTCCCATGAAGTAGTTTTTCAACTGAGCTTTAAAAAATGACTAAACCTATGTGGCCCAGGTGAAACATTACTGGCTGAAGGAAATAGTATGTGGAAGCCTGGAAGAAGAATGATGAATTTGAAATTAAGATTGGCCAGAGGTGAAATGGAAAGGATGGCTGAGGCTGGCAAGCTAGTTAGGGGCACCATCATACATAGTATCATGGACCCTGATTACTGTCCTTGAAACAATAGCCATTGATAGAAATATGAACTACCTTTGTCAAAAGTTTGTAGACAGAACCTAGAGATTATAGCTTAATTAGAAATAATATGGAAGCCAACTTCAGAAACTGATTTATTCTTTTTGACAGAGTAGAACAAAGTGAAAATGGCATATTAGAGCTAAGTATAAAAAAATAATTATGGGCTTGGCCAGTATAGCTCAGTGGTTGAGAGTCGACCTGTGAATTAAGAGATCATGGTTCAATTCCAGGTCAGAGCACATTCCCAGTGTGGGACATGAGGAGATAGCCAATTAATGATTCTCATCATTGATGTTTCTCTTTCTCCCTCTTCCTCTCTGAAATAAAATATATTTAAAAAAAAAAAAAAAGAAAAGAGCCAAAAGCGGTTTTGCTCAATGGATAGAGCGTCGGCTTGGGGACTGAAGGGATCCGGGTTCGATTCCGGTCAAGGGCATGTACCTTGGTTGCGGGCACATCCCCAGTAGGGGGTGTGCAAGAGGCAGCTGATCGATGACTCTCTCATCGATGTTTGCAACTCTCTACTATCTCTCTCCCTTCCTCTCTGAACAAAATCAATAAAATATATTAAAAAAGAAAAGCAATCCTATTTGAAAAAAGGAAGTAAAGCATCGTTTTTGAATGTCAATGAGCTAAAAGCTACTGAACTGTTTTTTGTGGGGTTTTTTTTCATTAGAGCCAGGTAAGACTTAAAATTATTTTATACCATCTATTTCCTCCTGTAGGCCATGTACATTAGAAAAGTGGAAGAAATGCAGTTTTAAATCTGATATTTTGTATCTAGTGATAAAATGTAAATTTCAGCTATTGTACTAAATGAATCTAGAGTTATTATTTCTAAAATTACTGTGTAAGGCAGCTAATTAAAAAGGTAAGGATAGCTGGTAGTTGAAAAATTTTAAATGTACCTGACAACGTGGATTTATAGACTTTAAATCAAAACTTCTAATTAGACTTTTACATTATAAACCTTTTCAGGTGATGCTTATAAATGTTTGTATTTAAATACTTAATTTCAAATTATGTAAATACAAGTTTAAAACTTTGGTCAAGTCAGACCATTTATATTCACCAAAGTTCAAGGTTTTGGTGTATGGTGTTTTTTTCTGGTATATTCCAGTTTGTCTTTGAGACTGGAAGTCTAGGCTCCAAGTCTACTTCCACCACTACAAAAAGAATGTGCAGGTGGGATGGAAATAGAAAATACTATAAATCCCTTAATATATATATAATGCTATCAAGAATGATGATGAAGTTTGCTAATATCCAATGTAATACCAAATACAAAAATATAGGTAAGTGGTTATATCTCCATAAAAAAAATGTGAATGCCTATGGTATAAAACCAGAAGGGAATAAATACAATCAAGTTTTTTGTCAAAGTGAGAGGGGAAGGGCATGTAATAAGAATGGAGCCACAGTTTAATAATTATTCACCTTACTAACTATAGATAATTATTCTTACCCTGGAAAACAAGGATGAAACAGTTTTAAAAGATAAGATGCCTCGATTCGTTCATTGCTCAGAAAAAAAGTATATATATTGAGAACAGACCAAGGACAGGACACGCTTTGATTTGGTTGCTGTGCCCGGACCCTCCAGGAGTTTGCCTCGGGAACACTGACCATTCTCCGGTCCCAGGAACAGCTGAATCGTTTGTAACATTATAGATTCGCCATCTTGTTATCAGACTTTGAGCTCTGAAGGCCAGACTGCAGACCCTGCCCTCCCTTTTCCATGTTACACTTGCAGCTCACAGATGCACATAGCTATCTTCTCCCTCATGTGTATATAATAGGCCAACTGGCGGGGAGGGAGGATCCAGTTTCATAAATTACCTTTTAAGTTGCTATGTTATTTTTTTTATGATTTTAAAAGAAGGGGGGAAAACTAAAATTTCAGGCCTCTGAAATCAGGACCCCAGTATAAACCAAGGAGAAGTAGCTTGCAGACATATTTTTATCCTGGCTATCAGAGCAGCAAATAAAAGTAGCCAAAAGAAATACCGTAATTCCTTATATTTGGGTAGTTTTGAGGATTGTTTTTAGTGTTTTTTGTTTTAGCAAGGAATAGAAAGAATTATACCATATAATATCTAAACTTACTCTCATATAGTACTACAAGTAATGAAAGTATTTTTTAGGCAGTGCCTACATATTACAACTATTCATGTTACAAATCCAACAATGCATTGTTGCAACTGTTTACCATCTGCAGTAATTGCTTCAGGCTAATATAATTTTGCTCACATTCACCTCATTTGTGCTGTTATTGGCAATTATATTACGCATATATTACATTTCTATATGTATAGGCCCAACAATAAGGTACATACATATCCGAATAATAAAGAGCTAATATGCTAATTAGACCAGACATCGGAACAACCTTCCAGAATAAACGGGGCAGGGCCATGGGGCTATGAAGGCAGAGACCCTTGCACGAATTTTGTGCATCGGGCCTCTAGTTCTTTTATAAAAATGCTTTTTTGAATCTGACCCCCTGCTCAGTCAAAAATTCCCACTTTTTTTTCCCCCTGAGTAGAAAAGAGGGAGGGAGGGAAGAAGGGGAGAGAGAGAGTGAAACATGGATGTGAGATACATCAATTAGTTTCCTACCTCACACACCCCAATCAGGGCCATCAAACCTGCAACCCAAGCAGTTGCCCTTGACTGGGGATTAAACCCAAGACCCTTCCATGTATGGGCCAATGCCATACCCAACTTAACTCCCCAAAATTTAACTATGGTTGGCCCTTTGCCAACTATATTTAACTCCCCAGAACAACTATACAATCCACAGACAGAAACAACAGGGTTTGGAATCTACAGTTGGGAATGTGAAGATACTGTTTTCTATCCACAATTGGTTGAATCTGCAGGTGGGAAATCCGGGATAGGGAGGGCTGGCTGTATTTATTTTAAAAACACAACCGGATTTAAGAGGACCCAGGCAATTCAAATCTCTGTTGTTCAAGGGTCGATTGTGTGTGTACCTTTCCCTTAACAACTGAAAGCTTCCTGGCAACTGAATTCGCACGGTGTGAGAAGAAAATGTTCGAGAGAGGTAAGACTTCATTCTTGTTATTTCAAAGTTTTAAGTCAATAGGATAGCTTTGTAATTTGAAGCTGTGACTTTATATTTTCCTTTTGTATTTTTAAATTACGTTAGAGAAGAACAGAGCAAAATTTACAGTACAATGCGGGGTGAAAGGTAGGTCGTGTTTGGAAGTTTAGCCATACTAACTGATCTCTTGGAGCCACAGTATTATTACCAATTAAAGAGGATACTGATAATATCCATTTTGTCGACCTCGGACGTATACTATGAAAATTAAATTATAATCCTAAATGGGAGTTCTCTCAGTGCTTTCAAAAAATATAAAAATATAAGGGGTTGTTTATGTTCTAAAGATTGACTTATGTTTAGAAATTAAGAGGATCAGGTCATGAATTGAATATAATTTGGAGGGAGTTTTTTATTTTTGATAATGTGCCAATTTACTAACAAATGTGCAGAGAACATTCTTAAGTCTATGATGAAAGCTGGCCCATTTCTTACTTTAGCCATATTTGTGTGACTGGTAGAATCTAAGCCTTAAACATGATGGTCCTTCCGGGGTAA